CACCAGGTCCGGATCTATGAAGTTCAGATTCTTCCAGGTGGGTGTTGTTTGGATCTGGCTGCTGTGCTCCACTTCTTTCTGCTGGAGGTGTTAGAGTTGAACCCTTTGTGTCTCTCTGGGAAGATGTTCTGCTCCTGAATCAGCTGGGTGGGTCTTGCCTCTAGCCACTTTGCAGGGAGTTCTGCTGAAGGGTTCCCTACTGGGCCTGCAGCCTGGGTTGAATGAGGATCCATGGGCCTGGGGCCCTGTCACTCACTGGCCAGGCCTTCCCTCTGGGTCTGTTCAGGATCCCGAGGCCTGGGTCATCTCACTCACTCACCGGGCCTGTGCTCTGGGTCTATTCAGGCTCTGGCGGGCCCGGGTCATCTCACTCACTCGCTGGGCCTACGCTCTGGGTCTATTCAGGATTCCGCGGCCCGGGTCATCTCACTCACTCCATTCTAGTTGTTTTTAAGAGATCCTTTCTTACCTTTTTACTAGCTACACCAGCGTCTTCAAGATCTGAAACTCTGTCTTCACTTTCACTCAAACAGTTATGCAAGATTGTGATTGAGATTTGAAGTTCCCCCATATCTCTTTGACTGTGCTTCATGCGATCTATTTCTTTTCTGTATTTCTCATTCAATAAATCCTTCATTTTTTTAGTCTCCTCTATTTTTTTTTATCACTGTCTTTTTTAGAAGCATTTTTTTTTAAGGTTGCAAAGATAGTACTTTTTCATTGAGAACCAGTGTAGGAGTAGAAAAATTGACATTTGGCCAGTTGCCTCTTGCTGCTCTGGAGGAACAGACAGCTTCTATTGAAGAGAAGACAGGGTAGTGGTGCTGCTCCTCAGGGCATCAGAGCCTCTCCACAGCACCTCATTCAGCAAGGGCCAACTTTGTAGACTGTAGCCACTCAGTCTCTTGGCAGATGTTCTCCTCCACTGTATCACACTCAGCTGAGAATGCCTGCACCTTTTTCACCAAGCCCTTCCTTTTTAGCCTGTTGTCTTTGAAATTTTCTGGTAGGATCATTGTGTCAATTTCCTCCAAAATCTTCATACACTGCTCAATTGTGGCTTTTACTTTCCTATCAAGTTTGCAGAGAGCTTCAGCTTGCAACTCCTTGTACAGAAAACCCTGCTGGATTCCAGTAAGTTCTTTTTTCAACTCTTTCAGGTGGTCAGCTATCTTTTCCACAGACTTTTCCAAATTTTTCAACTTCTTTAGCTCAACCTCTTCCTCTGGGTTGCTCTTTTCCCCAATTTTTTTTCAAAGTTTTATTGATAAACAGATAGCAATGAGACAGTTTCAAATCAAATTGGAAGTACAGTTTCAACAAATATTACACTGCATATATTCTTCTTAGTGGTTAATTGCTGTACAAGATGTGGACTTGTGATCCTATTTACAAACACCATTAGAACAAATCATTCTATTCATT